AGCTACAACATCACAGTTACAAGTATTAATCCCTGCTCTAAGTTAATCTGTTTTACTTGTCACAATTCTCGATTTAAAACAAATACACTTCAGACCACCTATCCCGCCGTATTCAGTAACCACTCCCTGTCTTTTCTTCCTCTTATTGGCATTAGTCTCAGACTTCTCGGTCATTTTACTTGCTGACCTACTGCTGTGGCTACCATACGAGTTTCAACGCTCCTAAAATGCATTAGCAAACCTTCCTGGCAGGAGCCCCTCCAGTTTAGGTGCAACCTGCCCTCTTGTACACACCCCACCTACCTTGTAAGACATCCCAATGATCCACATATCTGAAACTCTCCCTCCTTTGTTAAATATGTGGCTGAACTGCACTATCTTCCTATTCCTAGCTTTAGTGGCACATGGCGCAGGAAGTAATCCTGAGATTACGAACCTAGAGGTCCTGCTTTTCAACTTCCTTGACCTCCCTTTACAGAACCTCATCTCTCTCTCTGTGTATATCACTGGTACCAATATGGAGCATGACCTCTGACTGCTCACCTACCCATTCAGAATATCATGTGCCTGCTCAAAGACATGCTTAACCCTGGAATTAGTGAGGCAACATCATCGTGAAGTCTCATTTGCCCACAGAAACGCTTATCTGTGCTCCTGGCTATAGAGTTCAACCCTTCCTGCTGTACAACAGTGTCAATTGTGGTGCCACTGACCTGGCTGCTGCTGCTTTCCCTTGAGAGGCTATCCCATCTAAACAGTTTCCAATACAGTATACTCGTTTGAGAGGGAATGGCCAAGGGGATTCCTGCACTGCCTTTCCTCATCGTCCTGGTGGCCGAGTTCTCCTGCCATTGTGAAGCTTATCAACTAAAATCAACCTTATCAACTGCAAACAATAATCCAGGAACTGATTATATAACCTTACCCACTAGTCACCAAACTCACGTCTGTCACTCCCGCTCTCTAATCCTAAATACTAAAACAGGAGATCGACAAATAAATACATTTTTGCATACAGTTCTAAGTATAACAGACATTGTTATCGCTCATCGGGGGCGGGGGGGTGTAAATGAAACATTCGATAAATTCCAAAAAAGGTGTTGAAAGCCTCTGACAATTATTTCAGAACCGATAAATTCTTACAAGTCCAAGATTCAATAAAGCAATACAGCAGCCAGTGAATTCATAGATGATTTAATTTATGATCTCTGCCAGCTCGTGGAGAGATGCAACAATGGTGACGTGAAGACACAATTTTTAAGAGATCGGGTTATTGTAAGCATTACAGATGAGTCTTTGCCAGATTTAATACAATCCAAAGAAAACCCAATTGTAAAGCAAGGCAGACAGTGAGCGAAACAGAAGTAAAACAGATCAATCCAAAGAGGAGAGAATAAAACTTGGTATGGGAGATCCATAGAATTTTTTTAAGGGACATTTCTTAAGGCACAAAAGATACACCAGATAAGCTAATGCAGCAGGAAAGATAGACACCAGGCAGTATAAGTCCTTGCTAATGTTGTGCGTGTGCAGGAAAGAAACTTCACAGGCATGAATAGTGCCCAGCTTTTAATGTCAAATGCCATTATTGTAAGAAAGTAGGTCACTTTCAGAAAACATCCTAAAGCAGGACACAGCCAAAGAAACTCAAAAGATCAAAGAACAGCTTGCACAGAGTTAAATGAGGTAGAACAGTCTTCAGCAGAAGATAAGTGCAAAGCTTTCCTGAGGAAAATCGATGATCACATCAAACAATTTGGCATGCAGACTTTGACATCAATGGGCATCTCTCAAATTTCAAATTAGAAACAGCAGCAAGTATCACAGTATTGTCAGATAGAGTCTTCCTTGAAAAACACTGCTTACAGCTGACAGAGGTTTAGCTATATGGTTCAGGGGTCATCACATTGAACTTTGAAGGTACGCTACAAACAATTCTCTAACATAGGGAACACTAAATACTGAAAAACTTTTATACACTTCACAAACAAAAATTCTCTTTTAATAGAAGTCATGTATTGACTTCACCCTCATTCAAAAGATGGAAGAGATTAAACAAGAGAAGGTCAAGGGAAAACCAGTTGAAAATTTTGCTGACTCTGCATGACGGTACCCAAATGAAAAGCAGAATCTCCTGAGATCTAATTGTATCAGAGATAGTAGGAACTGCAGATGCTGGAGAATCTGAGATAACAAGGTGTAGAGCTAGATGAACACAGCAGGCCAAGCAGCATCATAATAGGCCTTCCTGCTCCTATGATGCTGCTTGGCCTGCTGTGTTCATTCAGCTCTACACCTTGTTATCTCCCGAGATATGCTAGGTTGGATTTTAAAAAATTGTTTCATTCTGCAAATTAGATAGAAAGCTGGACTATAGCTGATATATTTTCCACCACTATCAAAACTGAAGTTCAGATTCCAAATGGCAACAACATTTTAGAAGTGTAAACAAACGAGCAGTAGCTGAATCCTCAACCCTACTTGAGAGAATATACAGTGATACACAAACAATGGAAGCACCTGCAACAGATTTGAGGCAGACTGCCAAGCTGCAGAGTGCAGAACTCTCTCCTCCAAATTCAAGTCTGCCATGAGGACCAGAGTTGATTGCGAAGAGCAAAATTCAAACAAAATGTCCAAGGCCCTCATTTTCAAAAACAAACTTCCAACAAGAATAAAGCAATCACATCAACAAGAATGAATTTCCAGGTAACAAGTAAACAAATTGGTTTAATCAATAATTTGATCATTAAGAGAAGGATAAAACCCAATGTATAATCAGAAAGTGAAGTAATATGCCTACCTATCTCAGCAAAAATACACAGGCAGAACGAGAACCAAATTCTGTTGACACAGTTTCAAGATGTGCTGCAGACAACTCCACCACAGACACCACTCAGAACAGACACAACTATATGCAAAAGATCCAAGCTAGAATGGGTGTACATCACCAAAGTTCTCCATGAAAGAAATGCAAGAGGTTAAAGAACCTTCAATTCAAGACAGAACCACAGACCTCAGACCATCATGAAGACAATCTAAGTTAATAATCTATCCAAACAAAATACAATGCTTCGAAGTCTGCAGAGAATGCATTCAGACCTGAATAGCGAAACCCGCAGATTGTCTGAATCTGTAAAGTCAAAGACTTGGGGGTAGTGGTAAATGCTAACATATATTTTTAATTATTAGATTGTTATAGATTTTAAGGGGAAAAGGACTTGGGAGATGCTAGATATGGATCTGTTAGGGTTAATATTTGATTGAGTACAGCAAGCACTACACACTGTGATGCAGTCTTGGGGACTTGATAAGAATACAGGAGCTTGTAAATGATGGGTCTGGACTAGTGTGCTCCTACAATGTCTGCAGTAATGTTGGTCATATTCATGTAACCCATAACTAGTTACAATGATGCAATCAACTTCAGATTTTACTTAAATAGACTCTTCCAGTTAAACCCAAAAAGATGAATATCCTCATCCCCACACTAGACCACCAGCCCAAAGGAACCTACGCAAAATGGAAAGTTGAAGTCCTAAAATAAATCGGTGGAGAACACCAACTGTCACATCTTGCTGATCAAAGTAGCAAATCTTTATCCACACAGTTTGCATCCTCCCAAACTAATCTAACCTAAAAGGCTAGCTCAAATTCTGATCCCTCATTTTTGTCAGGAATCACTTTTTTTTTTCCCCTTTATTCATTCACAGGATGAGGACGTCGCTGGCTAGGCAGCGTTTATTGTCCATCCCTAATTGCCCAGAGGGCAGTTCAGAGTCAACCACATTGCTATGGGTCTGGGGTCACATGTAGGCCAGACCAGGTAAGGATGGCAGTTTCCTTCCCTAAAGGGCATTGGTGAACCAGATGGGTTTTTTCCAACAATTGACAATGGATTCATCGTCATCATGAGATTCGTAATTCCAGACTTTATTGAATTCAAGTTCTACCATCTGTCGTGGCAGGATTCAAACCCGAGTCCCCAGAACATTATCTGGGTCTCTGGATTAACAGTCCAGCGATAATACTACGAGGCCATCGCCTCCCCTGAAACAGGTGCAGAGAACTATTCAAACTCCTTCTTGAAGATTACATGTATGTATATTTATCTACAATATACACAAAACATAATGTAAAACATCCATATTTCCTTACCTAATTTTTTACTGAGCACCTGAAAAGCTTTGTAATTAGTCAGGCGTAACTTGCCCTTTGAGCCATTCTGGCTCTCTGATCAGCTCATATATGTTCAAATGTTCAGTGGAGATTTAGCTAATTATGTCCATTATTTTCTCCACTACTTGCTTTTTAAATTATACAGATATTAATAATTTCCTCTCCTTGACTTAGTTTTATATTCTATTCTATTATTAATGGAATCACAAGTGTACATGTGCTACAGCCCAGATAAGTACCACAACTCAAATTGTTGTCTGACTTGAAAAAGCAGAATCTTTCATTTAAAAAATTAAGAGAATTTCCGAATGTTTCATTGAATTTCTATCTAAGAAACAGATTATTTCATAATAGTTAGTTTAAATCCTATGATTTAAGTACCCAAATTTGTACGGACAAAAAGAAATAAGACAAAATATATGGTGTGATTCAAACAACGTTTTGTTGCAGAAGGCAGGCTTCTGGTCAAGATACTAGTGTGGTGGATAACATTCTTTAAAATATGGAGTTGTATTTCTTCAGTACAGTCATCCACTAGATGATTGCCATATGAGATGGGTGAATTTTTGATGGTATTTTTGGAAAGAACAAAAGACTATTTAAAAAAAACTAAATTCCAAAGAACAAAATGGTGCCTAAATACTTCATCAATAAAGGATACTGCCAGAAATATCATTTACCAAAAGGATTTGTCTGAATAAAATGGGAAAATATAAAACTGTTGACATTAGGAATATCATTGTTATTTAAAAGGACCATTTTTACATTGCAGCAACACAACTGAAAAAACTTTAATGGAAGCATTTCTGTTGTTAACTCACCCGCAATGATTCCATGTAAGATTTATGACAGTCAATATGTAAAGTGTGTCCACATGTTTGAACATACACACCACCCTCCCAACCGATGGAGACTGACTGCAGGCAAGAACTCTACATAAAGAGAAATTGTGAACAAAAATTTGGTGCATAAAGTTTCATATTATACTTTGACAAAATAAAACTATAAATGAACTGTAGAAGCAAAGTTATCATGACAATATATAATTTATTCACAGGAATAGGGCGTCACTGGCAAGGCAGCATTTATTGCCCATCCCTAATTGCCCAGAGGGCAGTTCAGAGCCAACATTGCTGCGGATCTGGAGTCACATATAGGTCAGACCAGATAAGGATGGCAGTTTCCTTCCCTAAAAAGGACATTAGTGAACCAGATGGGATTTCCTGACAATCAACAATGGATTCAGTCATCATTAGATTCTTAATTCCAGATATTTACTGAATTCAAATTCCACCATCTGCCATGGCAGGATTTGAACCCAGGTCCGCAGAACATTATCTGGGTCTCTGGATTAAACAGTCCAGTGATAATACCACTAGGCCATCACCTCCCCATATATTACAATAGATATCACAAAAAGATCATACAGGAGACAGTTACAGGAAACAAAATTGTAAAAATTTCATTTCTTTTCATGTACGTTTTTTGTATGGAACTGCTTATTTATTGAATTTACCAGTTAAATTGATGAAACTTCTTGCAAATTTAAGTATCATGCACATAAAAAGATCCAATCAAACGAAATAGAAAAACATCAAAGTTACAACTATTACAATGCTGCCATCTACAGACTATTCTGTGCTTCTGCTTAAAACAAAACATGGTAAAAATCCACAATTGAAGGCACATTGATTTAGCACCAGAAAGCACTTGATCGTGGACTGTCATTTATATCATACAATCAGAATCTCATTGCTGTCAGTTAAACATTTTATTCCCGTTTGTTTTATGTTAAAAAGTTGATGGTGTGTTAATCATGTTGTTTGCCCATTGCTTCAGAAATTTATAGTTACTTGGAACTTAATTTTCATCAGTGCCCATTTTAATCCAAAGCCAGCTTGCAATTTAAAAAAAAACACCAGAGAAAATAGTTTTCAGAATAGTTCAATGGTTGTACAATAGAAATCATTCTATTAAACATGAAGATGACTAAAACCATTACCTTCAGTTTCTACTTCAAACTCCAGCCTGCCTAAGTACCAACTCCATCCTGCCAACTCTCCTCAAATAACCAGTCTGGGTTCAATTTTGATGGAAGTTGCTAAATAGAGGCAAGGGCCATGGTGTTAGGGACAAGGTACTGGCATGGAGAGAGGATTGGCTGACTGGCAGAAAGCAGAGAGTACATATAAGGGGGTCACTTTCAGCATGGCAGCCAGTGACCATTGGAGTTCGCGCAGGGATCCGTGTTGGGACCATGACTATTCACATTAGACATTAGCGATCTGGACAAAAGGAACCGAGGATGTTGTTTCAAAGTTGCAGATAACATAAATACAGGTGGAAAGGCAGTAGTGTTCAGGAAGTGGGAAGGCCTTGGGACAGGCTAGGAGAGTGGGCAAGGAAGTGGCAGATGGAATACAAATTTGGGCAAGTGTGAGGTCATGCACTTTGGGAGGAAGAATAAAGGTGTAGATTATTTTCTAACCAGGGAAAGGCTTAGGAAAGCTAAAGCACAAAGGAACTTGGGAATCCTGATTCAGGATTCTCTTAAGGTTAACGTGCAGGTTCAGTTGGCAATTACTAAGGAAACAGCAACGTTAACATTCATTTCAAGAGGGTTAGAATACAAAAATAGAGATGTACTGCTGAAGCTGTACAAAGCTCTGGTGAGACCACATTTGGAATTTTGAGCAGTTTTAGATCCCATATCTAAGGATGCACTGGCATTGGAGGGAGTCCAGAAGAGGTTTACAAGAATAGTCCCAGGGATGAAGGGTTTGTCATTTTAGGAGCAGTTGAGGTCTCTGGATTTGTACTCAATGGAGTTTAGAAGGATGAAGGGGGAATCTGATTGAAACCTACAAAATATCGGAGAGGTCTAGATAAAAAGTGGACATGGAGAAGATGTTTCCTCTAGCAGGAGAGACTACAACCCGAGGGCATAGGACGACCCTTTCAAACTGAGATGAGGAGGAATTTCTTCAGCCAAAGGGTAGTGAATATGTGGAACTCATTCCACAGAAGGCTGTGGAGGCCAAGTCATTGAGGGTATTTAAGACAGACATAGATAGGTTCATGATTGATAAGGGGATCAAGGGTTACAGGGAGAAGGCAGGAGAATGCGGTTGATAAACATGTCCATCGTGATCGACTGACAAACCTGACTCAAGAGGCCATATGGCCTAATTCTGCTCCTATATCTTATGGTCTCATGTTCTTACAGACTGGATCCCAAGAATGATTTTTTGATCATATATGCGTACATTTTTTTCTATTTCCTGATATAGCCCACATTCAAATGCATCTTACTTGATCTGCTGCTGATACTGTTTTATGCCTTTACCAATACTAGACTTGATAATCCCTAGCAATTCCTGGCTGGTCTCCCACATTCTAACCTACAGAAACATGAAGTCATTTGAAACTCTTCAGTCTGTGTCCTGACTCTCAAAATCCAGTTCACCTACCACTGCGTTCTCACTGATCTGTATTGGCTCCTATTCAAGCAGCACCTTGACTTTAAGATTTTAATTCTCGTTTTCGAATCACTTTAAGGTTGTGCTTTTAGCTGCCTAGGCCAGAAGTTTGGGTTTTCCTCCTTAAACCTCTCTAGCCCTTTACATCACTTTCTCATTTAAGATACTTCTCAGAACCTAACTCTTATTTTTTGATCACTTGATAAAACATCACCTTACGTGCCAGTGTCATCTTTTGCTTTATAATGTTCTTGTGAAGCACAATGGGGTATTTTACAATATTAAAGCCACTACACTGATGTAATATGATCTTGCATTGAACTTTATCCACTAATGAACTGTACAGCGTACATGCTAATGTTTCTTCAGTTTTAGATTATAAAGTTAAGGGAGGGAGATTTATCACCAGTCACGTACAGAAGACCACCATGTATGCCTTAAAGCAGCTACATGCCAAACCCTAAAGTGGATTGCCAGTTGGTGTTAAATTTTAGCAGTTTTAGTGTTAACTTGAGTACACAAAATGAGATAACACCTCCTTAACTCACTACAGCTGGAACAGCATATCAGAAGAAGAAATGTGCATCTGAACACCCATTTTCAAATGAATGTTATGTTAACCTAAAGGAACATTTCAGTCCATACTTACCCTCCCTATACCACATGTCACATCAGGATCACAGAGGACAGAATGTATTATTACCTCATCATCAGGCCTAAGTCAATACCATTGTGCAAGACAATGTGATATGTCAAGAGAAGGCTAATTCACCACACTATTTTCCACCCTAGTGATAACTTGAATAAGGATTAGATTAGACCCATTCTTTACACTGGACTCAATTTAGACCAACTTATGGACGTTACACGGTAATTCCAATTGAATGCAACAATCAATCATTCTGTGTTTAAATTTAACTCACAAAGTGAAAGCATATGGTTTTAACTCCAACAAATATGACACTCACATCTTTGAAGTACTGCTGTAAATCTGTGATCCTAACATCGTGTGCAGTTCCACAGGTATCCTCAGGGTAAATTTGCTCTTCATCACTGGTTGGCAATTTCTTGGGTTCAGTGCTTCTACGACGGTGCCCAAGGACTGCAATAAATTAACAAGTCAGAAGTGGCATGTTTAAATGTCAGAAGTCCAGTAACAAGAACATTACATACAATTCAATCTTTTCTATCGTATCCACAATATCCAAAATCTCAATGATATGAAATTAATAACAACAACATTAATTTGGTCCAAAGTACAGGAAAACCAGTTAAGGTAACAAGTTAAAATAACAACATCTGGGGGAATATGTTTTGCTTTAGGAAAAGAATCTCCAATTCCAGGGAAGATCAGGCAAGGTGAGGAATTGAAGACAGCCGGTCAGAGGAATGAGTGAGTGAAGGGACATGATATAGTTAGTCAGAGATAGAGCTAACTGAAACAGGTTCTTGCTTTACTACAAAGAAAGGAGTTAGCTGTCTGGGGAGTCTCTGGTCAGGAGTGAATGTCTTTACTATCCTTAAGTTTTATCATAGCTAACAAAATGGTGGTAAAGTTAACAAAATAAAGCAACATACATAAATGAATAACATAATTAAATATTTTAGGTGGCAGGAAATGATTCCCTTCCCTGCAGTAGAGACACAGACTGGTGCCAGGCAGGGGTTGGACATTTGCACAAGGCTGGGTAAAAACCTGCAGTAGGAGAAGAATCCATCAGTTGTCATCTATGTAGGTACCAGCAACATATGCAGAGATAGGAAAGAAGCTCTTTATTGGGAATGAGGGGCATTAAATTAAAAAGCAAAATGTTAAAAGATTATAATCTTGATATTATTATCCAAACTGCATACAAATTGGCATAGGGTGTCTAAAATTAGACAGATTAAATCATTGCTGATATACTCATGTAACAGAAGGGAGTTCTGGCTTGTGGGCCACTAGTACCAGTGCTGGGAAAGTGTACGTGCTGGGCCAGTACTCTAGCGAACTGCGTAACTAGGGAAATAGAAAGGGTTATAAACTAAATAGTGGGGAGCAAAGCAGCAATTGTGGAGAGATGTGGTATATCAGACCATAGAGACAAGGTATGAAAGGAAAACAGTAATGTGGGAAACAAGTGTCTGAGAATGCCAGAAAAGGAGACACACAAAAAAAACACTACAAATACACCAACTACCTAGACTAGATGTCACCAAGATGGGAACATTTGTATTTGAATGCCTGGTATTCATAACAAACTAATTGATAGCACACAGTGAAGTAAAAAATATGTAATCTGATATCTATTATGGCAACGTGGCTGCAGAATATCAAAGGTCCAGAGTATTGAGGGGTATATCAAAGTCAAGTAGGATAGAAGCTATTTTAATGTGGAGGTGTAGGACTGTCAAAGATGCAGTTATGCAATAGTTAGAGATGACCTTGTTTCAGGAGATCAGGATGTAGAATTGCTTTGGGTGAAGAAGAATACATGGGGAAAGAAGTCACCAGTGTGAATGGTCTATAGTCCACCTAACAGTAACAAATGTGGGACAACTATTGGTGCTGGTAATAACAGGATGGTAATAATCATGGGAGACTTTACTGGACATACAAACTAGTGGTGACCAGTGGTGCTCCGCAGGGATCTGTTCTGGGACCTCTGCTCTTTGTGATCTTTATAAATGACTTGGATGAGGAAGTGGAAGGGTGGGTTAATAAGTTTGCCGATGACACAAAGGGTGGTGGAGTTGTGGATAGCGTGGTGGGCTGTTGTAGGTTGCAATGGGACATTGACAGGATGCAGAGCTGGGTAAAGAAGTGGCAGGTGGAATTCAACCGGAAAAGTGTGAAGTGATTCATTTTGGTAGGTCAAATTTGAATACAGAATACAGCAAGATTCTTGGCAGCGTGGAGGAACAGAGGGATCTTGGGGTCCACCTCCATTGATCCCTCAAAGTTGTGACCCAAGTTGATAGGGTTGTAAAGAAGGCGTATGGTGTGTTGGCTTTCATTGGCAGGGGGATTGAGTTTAAGAGCTGCAAGGTTATGCTGCAGCTCTATGAAACACTGGTTAGACCACACTTGGAATATTGTGTTCAGTTCTGGTCGCCTCATTATAGGAAAGATGTGGAAGCTTTAGAGAGGGTGCAGAGGAGATTTACCAGGATGCTGCCTGGACTGGATGACAGGTCTTATGGAGGAAAGGTTGAGGGACCTAGGGTTTTTCTCATTGGAGCGAAGAAGGATGAGAGGTGACTTGATAGAAGTGCACAAAATGAGAGGCATAGATAGACTGGATAGCCAGAGACTTTTTCCCAGGGCAGAAAGGACTATCATGAGGGGGCATAATTTTAAGGTGATTGGAGGAAGGTATAGGGAAGATGTCAGAGGTAGGTTCTTTACACAGAGTGTGGTGAGTGAATGGAATGCACTGCCAGCGGTGATAGTAGAGTCAGATACATTAGGGATATTTAAGCGACTCTTGGATAGGCACATAGATGATAGTAAAATGTAGGGTATGCAGGTTAGTTTGATCTTAGAGTAGGATAATAGATCAGCACAACATCGTGGGCCGAAGGGCCTGTAGTGTGCTGTTATGTTCTATGTTTTATGTTCTATAAAAGAAAAATCAGATTGGCAATAGTAACCTGGAATAAGGCATTCAAAGCATGTTTCTGAAATAGTTTCTTAAAAGCAGCTCATACTAGAGTTGACCACAGAGCAACTTATATTCAATTTGGTATTGTGTAACATGACAAGATTAAATAATGATCAGATTAAAGACATCCCTAGGTACTAGTGAACACAATAGGATTGAATTTCACAACCATTTTGAAGGGGAGAAAATTAGGGATAAGACTGCTATTTTAAACCTATAAAGGGCAACTATGTAGGCATGAAAGCTGACCTAGCTGAAGTAAATTGGCATTCTAGGCCAAGAGATTGATCAATGAAGTGCAGTGATCAACATTTAAGGGGATATTTCAGAATACTTAGAATAAACATATTCTTACTATAAAGAAAAACGCTGAAGGGAACAGATCAAAGTAGTTAGGAAATCATCAACTTAAAGAAAAAGCAGGTAACTGCTCAAAAATGAGTGGAAGGTCAGTTGATTGGTCAGAATATAAAAGAATGGCAGAGAATGACTAAAATATTAATCAGGAGGACAAAGTTAAGAGTACAATAGGAAACTAGCTAGGATATTTAAAAACAGATAGCTGTACAAAGGACAAATATTTAAAAATGAAAGAAGTACTGAGTGTTGGTCCTCCGGAGGGTCAGAATGGGGAGTTATCCGTAAATTCTAAGGAAATGGTGAATGAAGCGAACAAATATTTCATTTCTGGCTTCGCTACAGAGGATACCAAAAACATTCAAAGTCATGGCAGTTAATAAGGATGTGGAAGGGAGGCAGGAATTTGGCAAAATTACAATTACCAGAGAAGTGGTATTAAACAAACTGATGGAGAGACAGACTAACAGGTTTCGGAGCCCACGGAGACAGCAAGAACAGCAAGCTGGAGTCAGAGTCAATACAGTGTGGAGCTGGAGAAACACAGCAGGTCAGGCAGCAGAGGAGCAGAAGAGTCGACATTTCGGGCCTAGACCCTTCATCAGATGAGCTAGTAGTTGGTTTTAATTCCCAAAATTCCCTAGATTCAGGAAATGTTCCATCAGACTGGAAAGTAGCTAATGTAACACTCCTTTTCAAGAATGGAAAGGGGCAGAAAAATGTGAAGATATCATCCAGTTAGCTTGATGGCTATCACTGGGGAAGCTGTCGGAATCAATCATTAAAGCGATTATAATTGCACACTTTGATTAACTCAAGGTAATAAAGCAAGACCATGCTGTCTCGTCAAAAAGAAATCACGTTTAACCAATTTATTGGAGCTCTTTGAAGTAATAACATGTGCCGTATACCTGAATTTCCAAAAGGACATTACTGTGGAAATCAAAAACTCACGATACATGGGTGTAACGTATTAGCATGGAGAGAAGAATTACTGACTACCAAAAAAAAAGAATATGCAAAAATGAATCTCCTTCTGATGGATGGGATGCGATGAGTGGAGTCCCACAGGGATCAGCGTTGGATCCTCAACTTATACCAATGAACGAGATGAGGGGAAGAAAGGTATGCCATCAAAATGCAGGGAAAACACCTAGATACCTTGGAAGGAGGTAGTAGGAACTGCCGATGCTGGATTTTGAGATAACAAGGCGTGGAACTGGATGAACACAGCAGGCCAGGCAGCATCAGAGGAGCAGGAAAGCTGACATTTCGGGTCTGGACCTTTCTTCAGAAGGTGAAACCACATCTTGAAAACAGTGCATACTTTTGGTATCCTTATTTAAGAAAGGATGTAATTGCATTGGAGTAGGAGATTTACGAGCTTGATATTTGGAATGAATATTCCTATGAGGGTTGATGGACAGACTGGGTTTGCTTCCACTGGAGTTTTAGAAGAGCAAGAGGTTACATGATTGGACTGTCTAAGCCCCTTGATGGTTGCACAATTTCTTGATATAGGTAGATGTGGCAAGGATGCCTTCAGTTGTGGATGACTCCAGAACCAGTGGGCCTGCTAAAATTAGCAGTCACTCTTGTCAGAACAAGATGAGAATTTTGTTTTACACTCAGAGGGCAGAGGGCAGTGAGTGTGGCAAAGTTAAAATTTTAAGGCAGTGGCAGATAAACTCTTGTTGGGTAAGGAAATCAAAGAGTAGATGGGAACATGGAGTTCAAACCACAAACAGATCAACTATGTCATACTGAGTGGCACAGCAGGCTTGAGAGTCTCCTATTCTATATGTTCATATATTCTACATTGTTACAGCTAAAGAATGAATCACTGCATTATCTTATAAATTTCCACTTTCTTGCAGTAAATATTTTGAGTGGAATAGCAGTATTTAAATTTTCTTCAAGTCAGAGTTAGAACGAATTTTATCAACCACAGCATTCTAACAAAATTTAAGAAAATAAGCAGACGTAATTTCGGCAGAAAATATTCAATAATATCTAACAACAATTCTCCAATAACTAAGTTTTCCAGGTACCAACCTAGAATAATTTTGAAACTAGATAAATAAAGTGATCTATGATTATATATGGGGTTTTCACATGTAGATGTATAATCCACATTATAGGAGCATGGACGAGCAGTGGTCACTTGGTCTTCCACTGATAGTTGCACTCCATATGCCCCTCAAAAAACAAAAAATATGGATTGACAAATTACCATTACAGTAAGGAAGCGGTTTATACTAAACTAAATACAAGCAACAACCTCTCTTTTACACTTAACTCTATTGATACAGTAACCAGTTCACTGCTTTCCATAGCAAAGGGCAGCAAAACTGAAGTATTAAATGTAAGCAGGCAAGAGCAAAACATGGATGTCACTTCTCCCAGATGAGAGAAAATACTTGGGTAATATAACGTTAGCATTAATTTTTAATTTTATAGAGGAGTTGTAAAGGTTGTAGGTCGAGGATTTGTTTAAGATGCCATTAATATGGAGAAATCTATTTAACTATTCTTTATAAAGATCCTTTCAGGTTCACAGAAATCTGGTGTGACAATCAGAATCATAATGTTCGTTTTCTGACCTTCAAGGTCAATGCCTCCGGCATACTAAATAGAAATCAGCTTCAAGGAAGAAAGCATTCTGAAATTGTGCAACCATCTGGATTTAGGCTAGCTGTGAGAGACAATTTATCTTCTGCAATAAGAAATGCCATTCTTCTGTAAAATAATCTTCCACCTTAGTATACATACATGTGCCAATTGATCAAGACATGCAATATAAATTTTGCAACTTATGAAATGGATACCTGATGAAGCCTGCAAGAGAACCACTAATCCTGTTGGTCTTTCCTCTGTTGATGGGCCACTTTGTCCACAAATTACACAGTCATATACAGTTTCTGAATCTGGCTGTTCAGATGATCCTACATCCATGGCAACATCACTGTCAGGTGATTCTGAAAGCAAAGTCCCGCATTTAATATCCTTTCAGGTAGGCATACTTACATGAATTAAAATATGCAAATTTCAAGAGAAGCACAACTAAAGTACAACAAAACTCTGAATACGTTCATTGTTTTCCCCAAGCCAGATCACTAAGAGATTGAAGCTGGTCTGGTTTTACATCTCAATATGTAAATAAGTAAGATGAATCTGGGCAATAATGGCTGCATTTATTCAAATATTTATTTATTTTTTTAACAACACAGTGGTCTTCAGAAGACAACCAAGGCATTTTCCATTATCTGCCTTGTGAATTGTCAGAACACTTCATTGCTATCACCCTGGCAGAACACTCAATTTTGAAGACAACTGAATAAATACTAAGTGTTTCCAGGCTCTCAAAACATTACAAGTTTATAATGATCACAAAAAGAATTCTGGAAAGGTGTTTACCTTTGAAGCAGACAGAACTTGGAATTCTCAAAACAGTTTTGAAGCTGAGTCCATATACTTATGCATAAGGGAACTGTAATGTTGTTTAACAGAAGCTGTAGTGGTAGAGAATTTAGCGATTTAAACAAATACAGAAGATGAATATTTTAAAAAAATTAATGATGTTAAGGAGGCCAGTATAAAGACATGATAATCTGTGGATTAGAGCAATAGCATTTTATAGATGGAAGAAGGCCATTCAGTCAATTGTGGCTAGGCACGTATTCAAGCACTTAACTACAGTAATCCTATTACCTAGCACTTGGCCCGTGGCCTTGTTTGCTATGGAATTTCAAGTGCTCATCAAAATATTTGTTAAGTGTTCCCTACCTCTACCAGTCAGTGAGATTTTTTTTCTGAACTACTTTGAAAACCTCCTGACCCAACAATCTATTCCCCCTGGTTATTGACTGCTCTACCGAGGGGAAACGTTTCTTCCCATCTACCCAATCAATACCCGACATTTTCTGCAATTTTTGTTTGTCACAGTGCAGACCTCTGAACAGCAGCTTCTGGAAGCACAAGTCATTCATCAGCACACCAATCAGCATGTATGGATCTTCTCAGCAGCTGAGAGGCTGTGCAATATAGAGGGAATGTTGTCTAAGCCCATCATAAATTTTTACACCTCAATCAGGTCCACTTTCATCCTTCTCTGCTCTAACGAAAACAAACCCTGCTTATCTAGTCTCTCATCACAACTGAAATTTTCCTGGTAACGTCCTAGTGAATCTCTTCTGCATCCTCTCCAGTGCAATCACAACCTTCCTTTAGTTTGGCAACCAGAGCTGCATATAGTACTCCAGCTGTAGCCTAACAAACATCTTATAGCTCCATCATAACTTCCCTACTATTTTGTTCAATATCATGACTAACAAAAGCAACTATCCCACATGCCTTCCTAACCACCTTATCTAGTTGTCCTGTTGTCTGAGGATCCATAGACATGCATACCAAGGTTCCTGTGATCCTCCATATCTTTGGGCGTCCAATCATTCATGTATTTTCTTCCCTGTTAGACCTTCTATGCATCACCTCATACTTTTCTGAATTAAATTCCATTTGCTACTGTTATTTGTCCATTTAACAAATCTGTTTATACAGTTGTGTGGTCTAAGGCTTTCTTCCTCACCACACCACAAATCTTTGTCATCTGTGAACTTACTGACTAAACAACTAACATTCATGTCTAGCTAAGTACTGTACATTACAAACAGCCAGGGACTCAGTTCCGAGTCATGATACACCACTGGACACAGACATCCTGTCACAAAAACAAAAACAAATCTTTAACCATCACCCTCTGCCTCCCGCCATTACATCAATACCCAAACTGAGCAGCAATGAACAGGATACTGCAAAACAAAAAAAGAACTGTTGATGACACCTTCCATCACTTTACCGATGATCCAGAGAAGACGGATGCGATGGTAATTGGCAGTTTGGATTTGACCAGCTTTTTATGTACAGGACACACTTTGGCATCTACTCGACAATGTGGAAAATTGCCCATGTTGTAGCTACACTGGAATAGATTGGCTAGAGGAGCAGCAAGTTCTGGAATACACATCTTAAGTACTTTTGCTGGAATTTTATTAGGACCTATAACCTTTGCAATGACCGGTGCTGCCAAGCATTTTTGTAATGTAGAGTGAATCAAATTGGTTGTAGACTTGCATTTGTAATGCTGGTGATTTCAGGAGGTGGAGGAGAAGAATCATCCACTTTGCACTCCTGGTTGAAGACTGTTGCAAATGCTTCAGCCTTATATTTTACACAGATGAGCTGGGCTCCCTCATCATCGACAGCGGGGGGGATATTTGTACAGTATCCTCTTCCATGAAGTTACTAATTGTCCATCATTGCCATGACTGGATGTAGCAAGACTGCATAGCTTAGACTGATCCGTTGGTTATAGAATTGTTTAGTCCTGTGTATCACTTATGGCTTATGGTGTTGGGCGCATCAATAGTCCTCTGTTGTAGCTTCACCAGGTAAATACCTAACTTTCATGTATGTCTGGTGCTGTTCCTGGCAAGGCTTCCTACAGTTCAATGAACCAGGTTTGACCTCTGGCTTGAAACAGGGTATTCTTGGCAATGAAGGTGCAGATTATGATGGAATTCAATTTCACTGCTCATGATGGCCCAAACGCCAAATGCCAGTCTAGCGTTGCTAGATCTGTTCCAAGTCTATTCCATTTAGCACAGCAATAATGCCACAATACAGCCTCTCCACAATGGAAAAGGACTTGGGCTGCACAATGATCATATAGTGAACGTCAGACATAGGAGTAGGAGTAGAAGTAGGCCATTCAGGCAATTGAACCAGTTTTATCATTCACTGAGATCACGGCTGAGCTGAACACCTCAACTCCACTTTCCTGCTTTTTCCCCCATAACCCTGAATTCCCTTAGATTTTTGAAAAATCTGTCTGATCCAGCCCTAAATATACTCTTAATAACCCAGCCTCTACAGCCGTCTGCAACAGAGAATTCCACAGGCTCATTACCCTCAAGAGAAACGGACTTCATCCTTATTTCTGTCTTAAATAGGTTATACCGTACGTACTATGAAATTAATGTCTTCTGAACATAGACTGTCCCCCCAAGGGGAAAACAACCTCTCAGTATCTACCCTGTCAAGCCCCGGAAAAATCTTCAATGTTTCAATAAGGTAATCTCTCATTCTTCTAAACTATGAGGAGTACAGACCCTGCTAAATCCACCCTCTCCTCCTCCTGTATCTGGAATCAACCTCGTGAATCTCTTTGGCCTGCCTCCAAATCCACTGTACCTTTCTTTAGATAGGTTCTCAGGATGAACAGAGTGTGGAGAAACTCAACAATTCTGGCAGCATCTGCAAAAAGAAACAGTTGATGCTGTATCCAATAGGACTCTTTGCCTCAACAGTATTTTAGGTGAAGGCCAAGTACTGTTTTGGACAGTTTTAACAAGATTCTCCTATTTTTATACTCCATTCCCTTTGAAAGGAAGGCCAACATTCCATTTGCCTTCCCTATTACCTGCTAAACTTGCACCCTGGCTATTTTGTGATTCATACACGAGGATCACCAAATCCCTCTGTGCTGTAGCTTTCTGCTGTCTTTCCCCATTTAAATAATATTTCAGCTCTTCTAGTCTCCATGCCAAAGTGCTTAACCTCTCATTTTCCCACAACATATTCCATTTGCCAAGTTTTTGCCCACTCACGCAACCAGTCTATATCCTTCTACAGATTCTTGATGCCATCCTCAACACTAGCCTTCCGAGCTTTTTTCGGTGTCATCCATAAACCTGACTATAGTACATTTATTTACTTCATCCAAGTAACTAATATATTGTGATCCCAGTACTAATCTCCTATGGTACTCCACTAGTTCCAGGGTGCCATCTGAAAACACCCTCCTTATTCCAACCTTCTCTTCTGTTAGTTCAACAATCTTGAATCTATGCTAATATAATAAGCTAATGCCATCAGCTTAGCCTCATGTGTGGTACCTTGTTGAATAGCTTTGGGAAATCGAAATATGCTACATATACATCTTTATCTATTCTGCTTGTTACCTCTTCAAAAGAGCTCTAATAAATTTGTCAGGCATGATTTCCTTTTCATGAAACCATGGTGAATCTGCTTGATTATATTATTTCTAAATGCTCTGCTTATTACATCTTTTATTGTAGAATCTAATATTTCCCCAAAAACAGATATTAACCTAGCTGAGACAACAAGGTGCAGGGTTGGATGAACACAGCAGGCCAAGCAGCAGCATAGGAGCTGAAAGGCTGACGTTTCGGGCCTAGGCCCTTCATCAGAAAAGGGGGAGGGGAAGGGGGTTCTGAAATAAATAGGGAGAGAGTGGGAGGCGGATAGAAGATGGATAGAGGAGAGGGTAGGTGGAGAGGAACAAACAGGTCGAAGAGGCAGGGATGGGGCCAGTAAAGGCGAGTGTAGGTGGGGAGTTAGGGAGGGGATAGGTCAGTCCAGGGAGGATGGACAGGTCAGGGGGTGGGAGGGGGGGGGGCGGGATGAGGTTAGTCGGTAGGAGATGGGGGTGTGGCTTGAAGGGGGGGAAGGGATTGGTGGGAGGAAGAACAGGTTAGGGAGGCGGGGACGAGCTGGACTGGTTTTGGGATGCGGTAGGGGGAGGGGAGATTTTGAAGCTTGTGAAATCCACATGGGAACCCTGTAGCCCAATGGTATCAAAGCAGAGTACGAGTTGCTGTTCCTGCAACCTTTGGGTGGTATCGTTATGGCACTGCAGGAGGCCCAGGATGGACATGTCGTCTGAGGAATGGGAGGGGGAGTTGAAATGGTTCGCAACTGGGAGGTGCAGTTGTTTATTGCGAACTGAGCGTAGGTGTTTTGCAAAGCGGTCCCCGAGCCTCCGCTTGGTTTCCCCGATGTAGACGAAGCCACACCGGGTACAGCGGATGCAGTATACCACATTGGCAGATGT